CATTATGCTTGTTATGTGTTGTTGAGATATATGGCTCATATTGCATATGCCAAAGGTGACATTTAGTAGTTGCAACAAAACTTCAGTTAAAGTTTTTAAAGATTTGTTTTGGTTAGGTCAACATAATAGAAAAATAAAGGTCATATAAGTTTGCAGCAGTTTGGCAGGTGGTTGTCTTAAAAAAACCACATGGTGAGTCACTTCCTGATCTCATGTCCTTATTTGGATAATGAGTAAAAACAAATTGCATGATGTTTACCGTGGTTCTCTTTGATTTTCTGAAAAAACTCGCCGATGCCAAAGTCCAGCTTCTGCAGAACTGGCTCCAGCCACGAGCTGATGTCATGAGATGAAATCAGAGGCCACAGAAAGACACCCAACACTTCACAGAGAAAAATACAATGTCAGCTTATTTTGCAGAATAAAATGTCAAATGTCAAAGCATGTGATAATCATCATATGTGTTGTTTAACTTGTGCTGTCCTCGGGATTCCCATATACTTGTTTGCCATTCACCTAGGGACCATTTTTGGCCCGAGGACAACACAAGAGTTACATCAATGTGTAGACTCATAATCATTATTTCTTTGCTAATTATTGCACTAATTAACGGTATCCCGATGGCACACTGCGATTGCACTCAATTTGGTGAAATAACTCAAACAAAAAAATGTGATTCAAATGTGTTTTTCAGTTGATAACTTGACCTTTTGTTGAGCAAATCTTTGAGGACTCACCTAGAATATACGAGATAACGATCCCTGGAATGTAGCGTCCTAAGACAGCAAAGAAAGTGCACACACTGCAAACCAGCAGGCAAAACTAAAACAGAGAGGCAAAAACAAAGAGAACTTTTTGCTGTCAGTTACAAACTAAACTCCTCCTCAACAATAAACTGTTTTGGTATTTGTGTTTTTACAGATATGCAAAATCCCTCCCAGCTTCAGCTTTAGACACAAAGTACAGACAGTGAAGTTATAAAGCAAATACGTATTTTCCAACAATGCTGAATGGTAGAATTGTTTTATACAGATTTCGATAATTTATTAACTAATTGTTATACTAAATATATATATGCACAGTATACATATATGCTTTGTTGATGACATACATCAGGTATGTCGTCTCTGCCTCACCTTGCCTGGGTTTTGCTTTTTGAAAGCTGATGTCTCTTGCAGGAAGAGTCTGAGGGAGTCAGTAAGCTGAGGTCCAACCCCAGTCTGGCTGTCCTGGCCTGAATCAATGATCTCCCAGCTATAAAGAGACAAAGACAGAGGAATGTTAATTCAATTGAAGATAACACTCCTGACTGTACTTGAAACAATGGGCCTCTAAAATGTAAATTTGCAGGTCTAATGATGCTGCTACTCGGCCAAACAAAATAGCCTCCATAATTTAGACATTAAAGGCTAAAATTGTCACGGTCGTGGGTCTGTTAGCCAGAGTTCTGTGTTTTAAGTTTTCTAGTTCTGTTGCATTTCTTGCTTTAGTCTGTTTTCATAGTCCCCTCCAATAAATTGACTGGACTAGATCATGCTGACACACTTTACGGTGACTCCGCATTAAAAAGAGGCCCAGCATTTGACAAACTAAGAAGGGGATTACATTGCTGTCAGAGGCTTGAAATTCTGCTTCGTTGAGGGTCATTGATAAACTTTAGTCCAAGTAAAAAGCCACTCCAATGCAAATGTCATTGTCTAAATTAGGAAGCCTACAATAACATTGGCACGATGACAGCGCAGACAGGTGTGGGATGGGAATAGGGACGTGAAACTGGTTTCCATGCTGTGGCACTGCCGGGAATTCTGGGCCACCTGATGATTTATAAAACTTTCCGCTCCAGGATGGGAGTTCCCGAACATCACCTCCTATTTAAGCTCCACTATCAGCCTCTCGTGTTCTCTTCAGATATAAAACAGCTATGAAAGGCACAGGTGTGGCTCATGTGTAGGTCATGTGTGATAAATAGATACGAGTATGAGGCAGCTAAAGTCATCTTTCCTCTCTTAGCTACTTTCAGCTCCCCAGGCTGTAATGCAATGCGGCAGTAATATTTGTAAAGCTAAAATGTGATAAATGAGCATCTACTAGTGTAAAATGTAACACCAGAAACATCATCAGGACAGTGATTCTGGAAAGGTCACCTCTGAATGGCTCAAAAAACAAAGAAAAAGATTTTGTAATGGCCTAGTCAAGATCTGGACTTAAATCACATTGATGTGCTTTCTCACGACCTCGAACAGGAAGCAAAATACTACTTCTAGAGCTGTTTAGCCTACTATCTTCTCGTGAATATGATGGAAAAAAATAGCAAAGATTTGCAGAAAGAAAAGCATAAATCTGGACCTAGTTATTACAAAAATCTCAAACCAAAATATACCTATGAAATGTGATCACTCTGCAGAAGAAAGCATCAGTCTACGCTGCACCTTTGTCTCGTCGTTGTCTGGTCTCCTTTTTGGTTTACTTCTTGTTAGGTCTTCATATTTCTTTCTATATTTCTGCTTCCTTCCTTTGGTATTTGCCCTGTCCTCTTTAGTGTTTGATTAAATTCACCTGTAGCTTGCTACCTTTGTTTTCCTGCTGTCTATTTAGCCTACTGACTCATTTCCCAGATTGTTATTGCCTCTCCCTCATCCAACCTAAAATAAACAAGTTCAAACATAAATCCATAGTGTACTAAGAGAAATTTCTACTGTTGTTCAGACCAAATTAATCTGTCATTGTCAGTGTAAAAGCTGGAAATGTCTCAACCATGTTCCTCATATTAAATATCCCACTTTATCCAGCTGAGGATGGAAACTACATGTGTTGTGGTTGCAGCTGTCCTGGTGGAAACAGCTGGTGGGAAATGGTGATGGGGCTCAAGTTACTACAGCAGCTAGACAGGTTTCCACCAGTTAACCAACAAATGTTGGCTTCATATCAACATACTGACAGTTTTATAGACTGTGTTACATTTTACACAGAACCTAACTCTTTTCTGAGTCTGATTTAACTCCAGTGAATGATTGATGCAGTAAACAGTGTGGAAGGGGAAGCTTAACAAATACAAGTAGGATCACTACTGTAGCCCAGTGGCTCTGCAGCGTTCGGCAGTTTAA